CACAAGAGCACCACCACCAGCAGCAGCAGCAGCAGCAGCAGCGGGGGCTGTGGCACAGCAAACTCGCAGCAGAAACCCCCTCCACCTGCTCCCCGGGGGCCTCCCAGGGGGCCCCCGACCCCACCGTTATAGGCGAAGATGAAGTGTGTCGGGGGGCCCCCCAAGAAGTGGGTTTTGTGAAAAGGGCCCTGACATCATTTTACCGCTTCTGCAGCACTTTGGCGCTGCACAATTTGCTGCACAGCAGCAGCAGCAGCAGCTGCTGCAGCAGCTGCAGCTGCAGCTGCATGCGCTTCCGCGACCGGCAGAGAAAGGCCTTGGGAGAGTTCAGTGCGGAGGCAAGCCCCAACACATATGCAGCAGCAGCAGCAGCAACAGCAGCAGCAGCAGCAGCAGCAGTGGCAGCAGCTATTTGCGTTTGTTGCTTGCACTGCATTCGAGCTTGTAGTGTGTACTGTCTAAATGTATACACGCAGGAAAAAAGAAAACAGGCCGCGTAAACCACGTTTTAGGGTTTAGGGTTTAGGGTTTAGGGTTTGTGTGCTGCAGGCCCTGCAGCAAGTGGTGGCCTCGGTGCAGCGCGAAGACATTGCCCTTATTTGCGGCTCTCTTGAAGAACTAAATTGCTGCTTGGGGGCCCTCGAGGCCCTGGGGGGTATTCAAGAAGAGGGGCCCCTGGGGGCCCCCGGGGGCCCCTTCTACGTGCCAGACGGCCTCAAACCCCAGCAGCAGCAGCAGCAGCAGCAGCAGCTGCAGGAGGCGCAGGGGCTGCTGGGCCTGCTCGTGTCCCAGTTGAGCTGCTGCTCGCTGCTCTTCGGCCCCGCAGCGCCCAGCAGCAGCAGCAGCAGCAGCAGCAGCAGCAGCAGCAGCAAAGTGCAGCGCGCTATTGTGGGGCCCCCCCCGGGAAGCGTCTGCGAAGTGCTGCTGCAGCGAGACGCCAAAACCCTAAAAGTTTTGGATTGCCAAATTCGAAAAAAAGGAACTTTTAATTACTTGAGTCGCGCGTGCACCCACATGTCTGCTGCAAACCCTAAACACTAAACCCTAAACCCTAAACCCTAAACCCTAAACCCTATACCCTATACCCTATACCCTAAACTCTAAACCCTACACCCTATACCCTAAACCCTAAACTCTAAACCCTATACCCTATACCCTAAACCCTAAACCCCAGACCCTAGACCCCAGATTTTAAACCCTAAACCCTAAGCCGTAAACCCTAAACCCTAAACCCTAAACCCTAAACCCTAAACCCTGCGCTGCTGCTGCAGGTGGGAGACGCAAACAGGGCTTTTTGGGGACTCTTCGCTTCCTGCTGCTGAAGTGCAGCAAAGGCTCCAATCCGACATGGCTTCCCTAGCTGTACGTACACCCTCATGCATGCATGCACGCACAAATGCATGCATGCATGCATGCATGCATGCATGCATTTATGCATGCAAGTTATTGCGTGCTTCCATGCATGCATGCATGCATGCATGCGTACGTGGAGAGCGTGCATGCATTTCGTGGGGCCGCATGCATTCTGTGGGGCCCCACAGGCAGCCATTTGGCGCTGCATGCAGAGTGTGGGGCCCCCCGCATGCTGCATGCGTTATGTGGGGCCCCTGCATGCTGCATGCATTGTGTGGGGCCCCGCATGCATGGTCGGGGCTGCATGCGCTGTGTGGGGCCCCCGAGGAAGGCGTTTGGGGCTGCATGCAGAGCAGTGCATGCTGCATGCATTGTGTGGGGCCCGCATGCATGTTTGGGGCTGCATGCGCTGTGTGGGGCCCCACAGGACTCGGAGGGTTTGATAAGTTTGGAAGAAGCTGCTGCTTTGGGGGCTGTTTACGGGGCCTCTCCAGCTCGGGGGGACTTGAGGGTTTGGCAGCAGCAGCGGGGGCCCCTTTTGGATTTAAAAGAAATGATTTTATTTATTAATTCTTTTCGAGTTCAAGACAACCTCCAGCTGCTCGCGGAGCCTTTCCTCGTTTTCGACAAAGAGGTGCTGCTGCTGCTGCTGCTGCTGCAGCTGCTGCTGCTGCTGCTGCTGTTTGTGCGGCTGCTGCTGTTTGTGGTGCTGCTGCGGCT